AATAAACGATATCACTTAAATATACTAAGATACATGAATAATATTAACGCAATTAAACACATAATTCACATAATATCTCTTAGAACTACTGAATCGAACAACTTTAGTGTTTACTTTAAAGTCGAGCAAGTGAATTGGTTTTATTTATTAATTGTTCGGGGAGTTACAGTCTACCCACCTTAAAAGAATTCCGTCCTCGGAATTCGAAAGCAAAACAACTAGAAAACACTAAGAATAAATATACAAAAGGAACTCAAAACATAAAGTTCAGATAACGCCTCCTAATACCGTCCTCCCTTTCCCAAGTCGCCTCGGTTTCATCGTGTCGGCTCCACAGCACCTTCACCAAGCTCACTGCTCGGTTCCTCAGCTGATGGACCTTCCGATCCAGAATAGCTACCGGCACCTCCTCATAGGTAAGGTCTCGCTCGACCTTCATCTCGCCGAAGTCCACGATATGATCAGGGTTATGCACATACTTCCGAAGCATCGAGACATGGAATACGTCGTGCACACCCGACAAGTCTGGTGGTAAAGCCAGCCGATACGCTAAGTTCCCGACTCGGTCGAGGATCTCGAACGGCCCAATATAGCGAGGTTTAAGCTTCTCTTTCTTCCCGAAGCGAATCACCCCTCGCATGGGCGAAACCTTCAGAAGAACGTGATCTCCAACCGCATACTCATGCTCATGCCTCTCCCGGTCGGCATAGACCTTCTGCCTCTCCTGAGCGGACCTGATGGCCTTCCGAATCTCCTCAACGGTCGCAGCAGTACTCTGAACAAAATCTGGTCCGGTAATCCTCCTCTCTCCAACCTCATCCCAATACAAAGGAGTCCGGACCTTACGTCCGTACAAAGCTTCGTATGGGCACATCTTGATCGAAGAGTGGTAGCTGTTGTTGTAGGTCAGCTCGACTAGCGGAAGGGCATACTCCCAAGTTAGGCTTCGGTCCAAGACCACAACCCTCAAGATATCCTCCAAGTACTGGATCACACGCTCCGACTGACCATCCGTCAGGGGTGAAAGGCTGTACTAAACTCCAACCTCGTCCCCATGGCTTGGTGCAACGTCCTCCAGAACTGGGATGTGAACTTGGCATCTCGATTCGAAACAATCTCCACGGGCACTCCATGAAGCTTGACGATGTCCTTGACGAATAATTCGGCGTAATCACTCGCCTTCATGGTCGTCCGGACAGGTAGAAAATGGGCAGACTTCGTAAGGCGATCCACTATCACCCAAATAGAATCGTACCCGCTCCTCGATCTCGGCAGTCCAACCAAGAAATCCATGGTGATGCAATCCCACTTCCACTGGGGAACCTCCAGAGGCTGCAACAACCCCCTCGGTTTCTGGCGTTCAACCTTCACTTGCTGACACACCAGGCACCCATCCACGAACTTCGCCACCTGCCTCTTCATGCCTCGCCACCAGAAGGATTTCCTCAGGTCCTGATACATCTTCGTGCTACCAGGATGGATGGTGTACGGGGCACTATGGGCCTCCTTCAAAATCTCTCTCCGCAGCTCCCACACCCTCGGGACAAAAAGTCTACCCTCGAAGACCAAGGCTCCATCGGATGCGACTGCGAATCCACCAACTCTACCAGCTGCTGACAACTCCCTCATCCGGCATAGGAAACGGTCATTCGGTTGCTCGGCGACTATCCTCTCTCGAAGAGTCGGTCCCACAACCAAAGAGGCCAACACACTCCCGGCTGTCGAAGACGACTCCACTGCCTCCAACTGCAATCGCTCGAACTCCCGAAGAAGAACATCCTGCTTGGTGAACAAGCAAGACAACTGGCCATGGCTCCTCCGACTAAGGGCATCGGCTACTACATTAGCTTTCCCAGGGTGATAGCTAATGGTGCAGTCGTAGTCCTTGACCAGCTCCAACCACCTACGCTGCCTCATGTTCAGCTCCTTCTGAGTGAAAATGTACTTTAAGCTCTTGTGGTCGGTAAAGATCTCGCACTTGCCTCCATAGAGGTAGTGCCGCCAAATCTTCAAGGCGTGGACGACAGCAGCTAACTCAAGATCATGAGTGGGGTAGTTCTGCTCGTGAGGCTTCAGCTGCCGCGAAACATAGGCTACGACTTTCCCCTGCTGCATGAGAACACAACCCAAGCCCATCTTCGAAGCATCACTATAGATGGTGAACTCCAAAGTAGGGTCGGGTATGGATAGGACAGGCGCAGTAGTGAGTCTCCTCTTCAACTCTTGGAAACTCTCCTCGCACTGAAGGCTCCAATCAAACCTCACGGCCTTCTTCGTAAGGTTGGTCAGCGGCTGGGCTATCTTCGAGAAGCCCTCGATGAACCTCTTGTAGTATCCTGCTAACCACAGGAAACTACGAACATCCGCGGCACTTCTTGGCGTATCCCATTTGCTCACCGCCTCGATCTTGCTGGGATCCACCTCAATGCCTCGAGCTGTCACAATGTGGCCAAGAAATGCCACACGCTGCAGCCAGAATTCGCACTTCGAGAACTTAGCATACAACTTCTCGCGGCGAAGAGTCTCCAGCACAATCCTCAAATGCTCCTTGTGCTGATCGATATCACGGGAATAGACCAAAATGTCGTCGATGAACACAATGACGAACTGGTCTAGGAAAGGATGAAAGACCCTATTCATAAGGTCCATGAAGACGGCCGGGGCATTGCTGAGTCCGAAAGGCATGACTACGAACTCATAGTGTCCATAGCGAGTACGGAAAGCAGTCTTAGAAATGTCTGACTCTCGGATCTTTAGCTGATGATAGCCAGAACGCAAGTCAATCTTTGAGAAGACGCTGGCTCCCCTCAGCTGGTCGAAAAGGTCCTAGATACGGGGAAGGGGGTACTTGTTCTTGACTGTAAGGGCATTCAACTCCCGATAGTCAATGCACATGCGCATGGATTCGTCTTTCTTCTTCACGAATAGGACGGGCGCACCCCACGGCGAAACACTCGGACGAATGAAACCGAGCTTGAGAAACTCCTGAATCTGGGCCTTAAGCTCTTGAAGCTCCTTCGGCGCCATACGATAAGGGGCCTTAGAAACGGGGCCGGCTCCGGGAATTAAGTCAATAGTGAACTCCACCTGGCGGTCTGGCGGTCCTCCGGGCAAGTCATCAGGAAAGACGTCTAGGTACTCGCAAACAATAGATACTCGCTCGGGCACCCGCTCATCAATGACGTCGGATACCATAGAAACAAGGTAGCCTTGACAGCTACCCTTGGAAAGGCTCTTCCTAGCTTGCATAGAAGAGATGACCCGAGGCACAGTCCTTAAACTCACCCCAAAGAACACAACCGGCTGATCGGAAACGGGATAAAGGGTGACTTCGCGCTCCTGGCACCGGATATCGGCTCGGTAACGGGTGAGCCAGTCCATGCCCAAGATCACGTCGAAGTCTCGCATATCAATAACATACACATCGGCCTCCAGAACTCGACCACCAATACAGATAGGAAGATTGCGAACTACTGAATCAGAAATAATAACTTTCCCCGAGGCTAAGCTAACCTCGAGAGGATCACAAGCATGCACGGTGCTAACAGATAAGGCCTCCAAACAACGAGATGAGATAAACGAATGGGTAGCACCGGTATCACACAAAGCAAAAATAGGCACATGGGATATCGAAAGCATAACGGACATGGTACCTGCATTACGAGCGGCCTCATCATGGGTGAGGGTATAGACACGGGCCTGGCCTCCAGCCCTCTGCTGGAACGGTGGGGGCTGCTGCTGCTGCTGATGCTGCTGGTGCGGTGGTGGTGGTGGGGGAAGCTGCTGCTGCTGAGGATAGGGCGGCTGCTGCTGCTGCTGTCTCTTTGGCTCGCGGCAAACATTAGCATAATGTCCTGGGCGGTTGCAGTTGAAACAGGTGCGCTGGCTAGCTAGGCACTCACCGCTATGGGACCTACCGCATTTCTTGCAGGCTTGGCCGGGGGAAGGTCGGTCGTTGCGCCTATCAAAGCTTACTTTCTTACCCTTGTTCTTGTTCTTGAAGTCGGACTTCCTCTTACCCGAGCTAGAGCCGGGCGGCACGGTCGAGATAGGCTGAGCATACTAGATAGCCTGAGGAGGCTGTGAGGCAGGAGGATAAGATGGAATGGGAACAACCGGAATGAGACAGCTCTCCACCTCCTGAGCTCGGCTCACGGTATCAGCATAGGACATCGGTCCATGACTTCCCACCAACTCACGGATCCTCTGGTTGAGACCCTTGAGAAATTTCTGGGCCTTCTTAGCATCGGTGTTCACCGCATCACCCGCAAAAAGGCACATACGGGTGAAAGTGCGGATGTACTCATCCACCGAAGTGCTACCTTGTTGCAAGTGATAGAATTCGTGCTCCATTCTGTCCCAAAAGCTCTGAGGGAGGAACTTGTTACGCACCATCATCTTCATTTGCTCCCAAGTGAGAGCATGAAGCTCCACCTCGGGCTTCCGGGCCCAAAGCTCAATCCACCAGTCTGAGGCATCTTCCTTCATCTGATATGCCGCAAGAGACACGCGCTGACGGTCGGGGAGGGGGAGTACGACAAAGATTTTGTCCAGCTCCTTCATCCACTCAAGCACTGCTGTGGGGTTCTCCGTCCCCGTGAAAGTGGGCGCATTCATGCGCTGAAACTGAACGATAAGCTGAGTGAGGTCCATGGCCGGAGGGGCCTGGTGCTGTCGGGGTGGAAAAGGCTGCGTGGATGGTTGACGATTACGGTTGTTGTTGCGAGTATTCATACTTCTACATTGAATAA